GAGAAGTAAGCAGACAATTAAGAAGGGGGGTGCGGGGGACAGTCTGTTTCACACATAATTTTACCTTGTCCTGCTATCTCTTTATCTTTCCTTTTCCAAGACTCAGATCTTAGAGAACAGCCACTGCCCAGACATGTTCAGTGACAGACAAAATCAGTTCAGAGCAGCTGATTGCAAATGCAAATTCTCCCTCTCATTCCACTGTTGAAAAACTTGGTTCCTCCTTTATTCACACTGGCTCGGTCCTTCTGCTCAGAATTCTTGTCCTGAACGCCTTAGTCCAAAAGCCTCCAATAAAAAGTTTTTAAAAGACAAACTCCGGAGGGAACAACTGTGTTTTCTGGTTTGTGAGACTCAGGCCATCCCCTCTCCATCATTATCATATTATCTACACTCGCAGAAGCCGCCCACACACAAGGACTGGATAGGAAGGAACATTTTGAAGGTTTCCGAGAGCAAAATGAAACAGATATGATTTTAACACTGTAACTTAAAACCTTGTAAGTATAAGACATTTCTCTTTCAGGGAGCATTTGTTGGTAACTGTGAGAAATAATATATTCTGTCTATGATATAATATAGACAGAACTGGAAGGGTAGTCAAACAATCTAATGGTTCATGCAATCAGTCTCATGGTTATTTCATCTCAGCATATGTGCATTTCAAGTTTCTATGTTCACGTGTGATATAATTTAACTCTCAGCTCTGATTATTATCATTCTTTAAAATAACAAGATGAGTAAAAAACATTATCTTAGAAGTTCTAATCACTTAAGAGTATTCTTTTGCCAGTTCTAGGTTTGCAACTTTGAAACACGAGATAAACATTTTTAAAAAGCTGGGGGGTAGAAATATTCATTGAAAAGCAGGATTATTAGTGTCACCCAATTAAATGTATTCATGGTGACTGTGAAGGTAGACTCAGTCTGTCTTTTATTCTGCCAAGACACATGATACTACTGAGGGTTTATTATTCTCTAAGGAGAAAAATATTCATTAAAATGACTTGTCAAGTAAAAAGTAATAATCCTATGTAACTAACCCTATCATCAGTCTTTCTGGCCAGCTAGCTAAATATATACAATATAAATAACCCTCCAATGCACTCCCAACAACTGAAAGTGAGGTAACTTAAAAAAGAAAAACACTTAAAACATGTCACTGTAGAAGATGATGTGTTCACATGGTACCCTCTGTGCTTAAAATTCAATGGCTTCCTATTGCTTTCAGAATTAAGACCAATATTCTTAATGTGATCTTCAAGTTTCTACAACCTCATCTCTTACTACACTCTCCCTACATCTTCATGCTCCCCCACACTGGTCTTCCTTCAAGGCTTTGAACATGCCACAGGGCCTTTGCACATGTTTTCACTCTGTCTAGATGCCTTCCTCCACCCCTTCTTTGCCTCTTTAGCTCTTACTCATCCATCAGATCTTAGCTCAGTACTCACCACCTTAAGGAAACCATCCCAGACTCCTTATCTCAGTTAGATTCTCTTTTGTATGTTCAGTCATAAAGTATGTTTCTTTTCTGCTTGGCATTTACTTACCTCATGATTATGGTATATCTGTTATCTATTGCTGCATAACAAATAACCTTGAAATTTAGTGGCTTAAAACAACAAACATTTATTATCTCTTGGTTCCTGCTAATCAGGAACCAGGAGCAGCCTGGTTGGGTGGTTCTGGCTCAGAGTCTCATCACGTTGCATCAAGATGTCAGCCAGGGTGCACCTGGGTGGCTCGGTCAGTTAAGCATCTAACTCTTGATTTCGACTCAGATCATGATCTCAGTGTTGTGAGATCGAGACCCTCATTGGGCTCCACGCTGGGTAGGAGACTGCTTAAGATTCTCTCTCTCCCTCTCCCTCTGCCCCTCCCTACTTTCCTCTCTTAAAAAAAGAGAGAGAGAGAGAGAAGAAAGAAGAAAGAAAGAGAAAAAGAAAGGAAAGAAAGAAAGAAAGAAGAAAAAAGAAAGAAAGAAAGAAAAAGGAAGAGAGAAAGAAAAAAAATTATGTCAGCCCAGCTGCAGCCATTTGAAGTCTTGCCTGGTGCTGAAGGGTCTGTTTCCAAGTTCACTGGTGTGGCCTCAGTTCTCCTTACCATGTGGGCCTCTCCATGACCTACTTGACTCTCTTCAGAACATGGCAGCTGGCTCACCCCAGAGCAAGTGATCCAAGAGAACAGATGAGAAGGAAGCCCCTAGGTCTTTTATGATCTAGTCTTAGAAGTCACATACTGCTACTCCTTCTCTATTCTGTTTGTTAGAAACAAGTCTTCAAGCCCAGCTCACACTAAAGGGCAGGGAAATTAGGCTCTACCTTTGGAAGGGATTTTTGGTTATATTTTAAGACTAACCCAAGACTACATTTGGGTAAATATCTACCTCCCTTACTAGACAAGGGTACCTTGAGAACAGGACCCATGTTTCTCTTGTTCACTGTTGTGTCCCTGGCACCGTCCAGAATGCCTGGCAAAGTACAAGCATTCAGGAAATAGTTAAAAGAATGAATTAAATGATAAAAGAATGAAACTTTGTATTTCAATCCCAGTGCTAGGGAACTCTGGACAAATTCTCTAACATTAGTCACTGGTTTTGGAGAATGGGGTTAATTCTAGCTACCTCTCAAGCTGTTAAAAGAATTAAACAATACAGCCTATATAAAGCACCTAGCAACATCTGGCACAGAAGGGGCTCATTAAATGTTACTTCTCATCTTCTTTGCTTCGATTACATATGCAATCCACCCCAGGCCACACAGATTCTACTTCTCACATCCCTCCATCCCACCTAGTCTGTGACTCCCTTTCAATTGCTATGTCTCTCCTTCTTGCTCACTCCTTTCTACTGCCCTTCTGACAATTCCTGATGCCTCTGGTCTCTGTCTCATGTGATCCATCCCATGCACTGCAACCATGTGAGTTATCTTCAAGCCCTCCACGTTTCAAAACGTTTTTGTCCAAACTCCCCCCACAACCAGAGCCCAGTGGAACTGCACAACTTAATTTTCCACTACCCTCCTATATATATTCTCTACAGGAAGACTACTTACTGCCCCCAAATGTGTGGCTCTCACTCTGTGCTTCCTAACCACTGTCCTTCTGCTCATGCCATTCTTTTCTTCTTTGAGCTCCTACTATAAACTCCATTTATCTTATTGCATTTATGATTATTCATGTGTTCCAGGAACTAGAATGTATGTGCTATTTCTGTTACTAAATTGGAAGCATATTGAAGGCTGGGACTATGTCACTCATTCTTACACCCTCTATCGTTGTTCCTCTGCCCTGCACTAGGAAAGTGTATAATAAACTTTTGTTGAATTGAATTTGAATTCCAGGTGGCTTTTATTTCCTTATTTGTACTGACTTAATGATACATTCCAGCCCAGGTACCAGAATGAGATAGAGCAACATGCTCTGCCCATACCGACGATGAGAGATTTGACTTCTAGCCACATATAACTACATTCTTTTCATGTCTACATAAACTAAATGATCCACAAATAGCAAATCTTTAGCAGAGCAATTGCAGGATATAATATGGGTTACATTTTCCTTTAATTCTGGCTCTAATGCAAGTATCTTCACCTTAATATTTATAGGACCTCTGTGTTCATTTGTAATGCTCTGTAGCATTTTCACTATTGCTAGTAGCAAGAATATGATAAATATATTTGAAGATAGAAAATTCTTAAATGATTCTGGGTTATGTCAGTAATATGCCACGGTGAGTAAGATTGGGGGAAATTGTCAAACGAATGAATAGACAAGACCGGCAATGTAAGAAATTTTGTCTTTAGATTGCTCTGGTAATGCTTCAAAAGTAGATGATGTTTTCATATTTTCAATGAAGAAATGTCTGCTAAACACACACACACTCACACCTAGGGAAATTCTTGCTTTTGAGTCATGAATAGATACCTTTTGGAAATACACAGTAAAATTTCAGGCTGAGACTGACACAAACATGAAAACTATTTATTCAGTGTCTCCTTACTATATTACCAGTGGTGTTCAAACATTTTGACCTCACAAAATTATTTTCATTCTGGTAGAGCAGAGGTACTATATTTCCTGCCCCCCCCATTATCTATAAGGGGTCATGACGGCTTGAATTCTGTAAATATATGTAACTCTCTTCAGATGGGCAGTGACCAAAAACTAATTCTTGTGTATAAACGTTGGTAACATACTCTTCATCTTCCCAGTCCATTAACCCTGAATTTATAGAAATTTAGTGAACAATCCCTCCTTTATATTAGTATTTATAAGCCTTGGGGTAACTTAAGAAGGTTCTACCAGGATAATAGGGACTTTCATCTTTGGTCAAATGTTAAAGCAGCTTCAGGGCGAATAGGAGTATGTAAAATTAAAAACTTTGAGATCTATCTAAAAGCTTTATTTTACAAATAAGGAAACTGAGGGTCAGGAGATGGAAGGACCTCATGGACTCTGCACCTCATGGCAAGAAACTTGTGACCGCTTGGCATTTGCCCACCCACCCAGTGACTAGTCTGGTCCTGGGTGTATCAAACTTGTCACCAATGGCACACTGGGCCAGACAATGCTTTGTACTTGGGGTATAACAGATGTCCTGTGCATCTGTGACCTCTAGTCTCTAGATGCTAGTTGTACCTCTTCCTCTTGGTCATGACAACAACAACAACAAAACGCCTCTAGACTTTGCCACCTGTCCCCCCAGGGGGTAAAATCATCCCCTGCCCGGAACAGCTGGTCTATCCTAAGCCATCTTACTGTCATAATCAACTATTCTCTTTTATGTTTTCTGGGAAAATACCTTAAGACATGAAATGCATCATATTGAATATTAGAACTCTGCCTGATTTCCATGAGAAACCACAGTCTTTCCAAGAAAAGGGACTTCACGGCTTACTTCACACATTCAGATACAATAAGAACACAATCTGATGCAGGGTGGCCAAACCCAACTAATCTTTAACCTAAGAGAAGCTCAGAAAGGGACAAAACACAGATTGACAGTTTTGATTCATGTTTAATGAAAAAGAAGTTACATGAGTAGAAATGGACATAAAACAAAGAGATCAGTTTGGGGAAATAAGGTGATAGGTGGAACAAGGGAAAAATCATTTTATTCCTGAATTTATTCATATATTCGTATTCGTTATTACTGATCCAAAATATCTCCTGAAACCCAAAACAAAGTCAGAGTTATAGCTTTACTGATGTTTTCATGGGAACTCACGAAAGTCATATCCAAACAATCCTTTTCCATGCCCCCCCATGCCCCCAGAACACACACAAGCAAAGGCAGAGATGTTTACTGGTTGGTAACGTGGCGTAAAAGAAATGCAGCCTTATCAGCTTTTTATTACAAAGCAAGTTAGCACTGGTAGATGTGCTTTTGGCACAAACATGCTTTCTGCTAATATTTTCATGAGAAAGCTTTTATGATGCGCAACCATTTATTCTTAGTACAATCAATCATTGAGGGATTAAACCTAACTCTGGTGAATATAAATAGGTGTGCAGACGTTGCTGACTTCAGGTTCGAGCACAGTTGAAATAGTCAAGACGTGAAATTTAAAAATACACAGCTATGAAACTGCAGCGAGCATCTTACTGGTTTGTTTCATGGCTCAATTCTGTTCAGGATTCTTAGCCGAGTCAGTCAATATTCTATTTTTTTGTTTGTTTGTTTTCGTTTTCTACCCTGATGTACAGGATGATCACATCTTCCTAAAGAAGAAAAAAAAATCTTTGGAAATGAATTATTGATCTCTGAAAACATAACAGGTTTGCTTTGATCATCTTATTTCAAATAAAATATCCCTTCTCTCAAACTCGATCTGGCAAGCGTTAAATTCATTATAGACGTTTGCCACGTGGGTAATAAAAAGGAACAATGAAACTTTACACACTATCCCTTTAAAATAAAAATCTTTTGGCCAGCACACAGCCGTCACCAACCTTCTACGCTCACATTGACTCGTTCAAAGTTAGGACGAGCCCTGTCTCTTCTGATACTGAATTCTAAGTTTTTCCAGCTGCTCGACACATTGGGACTGAGCCAACTTCAACGTCCGGTTCTCCTCCATCAGCTCCTCGAATTCCCGGGCCAGCTGAGCAGCATCCACCTTCTCCCTTTCTGCCTGATCCAGCTTGGCAATGAGCTCCTTTCTGAAAATTCAGGGGGCAGTTGAGGAAAAGAGCACAAAATTTAATGCAAGCAAATTAAAGGAGGCAGTAACAGCATAATGGAAGCAGAATGTTTCCTTCTGCTTTTCTGAACTTCACCATTTCTACTGGCTTCCAATGCCTTACTTTTAGCTTTTCCTGCTTCGCGAGTTTTAGCCACTTTATTATTTTTTTAATTTTATTTTATTATGTTAGTCACCATACATTACATCATTAGTTTTTGATGTAGTGTTCCACGATTCATTGTTTGTGTATAACACCCGGTGTTCCATTCAATACGTGCCCTCTTTAATAACCATCACCAGGCTAACTCATCCCCCACCCCCCTCCCCTCTAGAACCCTCAGTTTGTTTCTCAGAGTCCATAGTCTCTCATGGTTCATCTCCCCCTCCGATTTCCCCCCTTCATTT